GTTCAATTACTGGTACCAAAAAAAAAAAAAAAAAAAAAAAGAAAGCTACAGCAACCTATGGTTTGCCAAATGCTGCTAGGGTTTTTATTTTGTCTAGAATATCATTTTTATATTCTGACAAATTGTATCAACTCTTTTAGGCAAAGCATAAAATCTACTTCTTTGAATGTTTTCCTTACTCCAGCTAGAAAATACGAAATTTCTTAGGGATTGAACCCATGGCTTTTGCAGTGAGCTACACTGCTGGGCCCTTCTATTTTATTTATTTCATGATAGGGTTTATGCTAAGTTGCTCAAGTGTGACTGAAACTTGTGTTTCTCCTGCCAACACACCCAGCTAAAAATTCATTTCAATATTCCTCTTTCTTAATATACACATTTGCTTTCTATCTTATACATTTAAGATATTAAAAAAATATGTTAGAACTTAAATTCAAAAATTTAATTATAGGGGCTAGGGATTTAGCTCAGCGGCACCGCACCTGCCTGGCAAGACAAGGTCATGAATTTGATTCCCGGTACCGGAAAAGAAAACAAACAAAAAAAATTTAATTATTTACATATTCACTTCCAGTGGTCTATAGGATAGTGTAACAGACTGAATAGGCCCACTACAACTAAAAAAAGGTGAATAAATTGGACAGCTATATTACCAAAGACATGGGATAGGTATGGAAGCAATGCAAATGAGATGAACTAAAATTCTAGAGACAGAGAATCTTTTCTGAGGTGAGTTGATGATTTATATTTGCTTTCCTCCCTGGGTTTATTTGCTAATTTTGGACAGGCCGAGAATTTAGTATACTCAGGAAGCAGGATTTTATGGAGCAGGGGCAGAGAAATAAGAAAAGCTCTTGGTTGTTTCTTTGGGGCTGGCTTGGTGGACTTGAAACTAGATAAACGGTCAGCACATGATTGGCTTTTCCTCATAACACATCTGTTGAGTTCTGAGGCAGTGCAGGAGGTTAGGAAATCTCTCAATCTCACGGATCTTAAAGACCCA